TCTGACATTGTCTGTACCCACAATGTCAGGATACACTTAAATAGCAGAATGACAAATTTATAACTATTTATGAAAGACTGAAATGATACAGGGTAATCAGAAGGGGTAATGGGGATTTGGGTAGGGGGAAGGAGAAATACCAGAGCCTATGGAATTATAGCATAAGATAACAAAATAAATAAATATATATATTTTAAATTTTTTTAATTGAAAATTTAAATAAATGAATATTTTAAAAAATTTTAATGGGCAATTTAAAAATTATTTCTAATAGCACCAGTTTTTTAACATTTGGGATGAAGATACTCTTGTGATAAACCAAATTCTTAAATGTCACAAAAAACAAATTAGCATACCCTTTGAAAGGGGAATTTGACAATTTCCCTTTTGCAAGTTAAAAAATATTTCAAGAAGTATATAAGCACAGAATTGTCAGTAGAAATACACTTTTTATGTCATTATTTATTGTAGGAAACCATTGGAAATGGACTATTTTAAGAAGAATGGCCAAAAAAATTACTAGTCATATGGAGAAATTTTATAGGAGTCTCAAAATTGGGCATAAGAAAATAATTAAATAACTCAAAAATATAGCTAAATCATAACAAAGAAATATGAAATTCAACACTTGATCTGGTTTCCCAACTATTGCTGGCAAATTCAAAGAACATCAGCATCCAAGAGTCCTCCCAATATGTTAACATGGTTTAGCTCTCTTCCTCTATCCTTTGCATTATCAAATAATAATAATAAAAATTAAATAAAAAAGACAAAGCATTCAAGAATTTGTTGTTCCCAAAGCATAATCAGCAGATCCAAATTTGAGTATTTGGCATCGTTAAGAGTGATAAAGCATAATGAATAACTCTCAAGTGGTAGCACTTTAGAGGAATTTAGTTTAGTCTGGAGTCTTCCTGGTATGCTGGCATCAGATGAAACCCATCATTCAGTTTCTGTATTTTATATCCAAACTCCCAAGTGACCTATCTCTTCTCTCTAACTGCTTTTATTTCTTGGCCTCTGGCTCTTAGCATTTCATTCCATTGAAATGTACTTGAGAACACAAAGGACATTCTCACTAAGTCTAGCAATCTTTCATTAGAAAAACCATTACACTGAGATTTATGTAACACTACACTTGTTTAGCCTCCCTTCTGCTCTGTGGAATCCTCTTTCTCTATTAAAAGCTTTTCTTTTGATCTCTGAAATATGTGACTTATTTAGGTGACTACTTAAGCAAGGTGATACCCGTATTTATAATCACCACTAGTTTTCCAGCTCCTTGAATTGAGTTTTAAAAACATTGTTGCCATAGGATTACCTTAAAATCCCAGCATTTAGAGCAAACACTTCTCCCTTGTACATTCTAGAGAGATTATAAAATTAAAAATCTTCTTTCCTGATCATTCTTCCAAATGGAGTGAAAACACATCAGAACTCCTGCCAATAAGACGAAAAAATGCAAGCCTGTTGTTTCTTGACCTTTTTGAATGCTTTTAACATGGATCCAAGCAGGAACTGCGACTTACAGTTTTGAGGAGAAGTCTAAGCAAATTGCAGAGCTGTCAGCTTCCGTGCAGCAGAGCGTTGAACCGAAGCCAGCTATCGGCTCCCTCCTGAATCCTGGTTGTGTAAAATGAGTAAATCCAAATTCACCTGGGCTTCTATAATGAGGTAACTTCTATCTGGCAGCTGAACATACTCTTAACTAGATATTGAGATTTTTCATTTTATTTCTCCTGGTTGGAACTGCAGAATGCACAATCACATTATTTAAATGCTCAAGAAAAGCTATCTTTATTGAGGTGGAGATCACGACACAGTGGGCTAACCCACTAACAGCTTGAGCTCCTGATATCTGGAGTGCACATTTAAGTTCCTGCACGTCTACTTCCAATCCACCCCTGTTATTGTGTCTGGAAAATGACAGACAATAGCCATGTGTTTGAGTCCCAGCCACCTGCCTGGGAGATTGGAGTGGAGTTCCTGGTTCCTGGGTTTGGGCTGACTCAACCCCAGCTATTGGAGCCATTTGAGAAGTAAACCACCATATGGGAAATACGGGTATATTTCTGTGTGTGTATGCACACATGGGCAACTCTTCCTTTTAAACCAATAAACCTTTTTTTTTTTTTAAGAGAGAAGAAATCTGTTGAGCTTTAATGTATGGTCTCTTAAATGTATTTAATCAAGGAGCCCTTTTCTTTCTGTAGTGTTACAACTATGGCTCTCTACATTCTTGCTCTTCTAAGCGGGACTCCTAAACTAGCAACATATGCATCACCTGAAAACTTGAGATAAAATCAGTACCTAAGGCCCACCAGAGAAACAGAAATTACAATTTAACAAGATTCCCAGGTGATCTGGATTAATTACATTTGAGATGCACTATTCTGGAAAGCACTGGCGTAGAGAATAAAATACAACTAACCTGAATTCTTTTGTTCACGAGAGGACTTCAGGAAGAGTTCATGGGAAAGTGGGAGTGACAGAGATGTTTATTTTATTACTGGTGTGAGAAAATTTTGAAATCCAGGCAGGTGTCTGGCACTCTAAGGTGCCACTTGGGACATCCGCAGCCCATCCCAAGGCCTGGATTCAAGCCCCACATTCACTTTGGATTCCAGCTTCTTGTTCAGGCACACTCTGGCAAGCAGCAGGTGAAGCTCAAACACTCGGGTTTCTGCCACGGTTTGAGTTCCCAGCCTGACTTTGACCCCAGCCCTCACTGTTGTGGGCACTTGGAGAATGAACTAACAGAATGAACTAACAGAGGGGAGAGCTTGTTCTAGTTCACTCTCTCTTAAATAAGAAATGAAACTTTAAATTTTTTAAAATCCATGAAATTTCTTCATTTTCCGCAAACTTAAAAAATCTTTTTATTTGAAAGGGAAAGAGACAGAGCTAGAAAGACATCTTCCATCTGCAGCTTGACCCCCAAACGCCTACCACAGCCAGCTTGGGGCTAGGCTGAAATCAGCAGTCTAGGACTCCATCCACATCTCCCATATGGCTGGCAGGAACACAACAACTGCGTCATACTACCTCCCAGGTACACATTAGCAGAAACACAGCGGGGACTCGAACCAGGAACTCTGACATGGGAATGTGGGTGTCCCAGTTAGTTTTCTTTCTTTCCTTTCCTGTTTTTTTTCTCCCTCTTCCAAGATTTATTTATTTATTTGAAAGGAAGAATTACAGAAAGAGAGAGAAATCTGCAGGTTTGCTCCCCAAATGGCTGCAACAGCTGGAGTTGGTCCAGGCCAAAGTCAGAAGCTTGTAATCCACTCATATGGGTCTCCCACATGGGTGGCAGCAGCCTAAGCACTAGGACCATCTTCTGCTGCCTTTCCAAATGCATTAGTTGAGAGCTATATCAGAATTGAAGTAGCTCTTCCTCTGTCTCTCCTCCTCTCTGTATATCTGACTTTGTAATGAAAATAAAATAAATCTTAAAAAAAAAAAAGGGAGGGGCCTGGTGGCGTGGCCTAGCAGTTAAAGTCCTCACCTTGAACATGCCGGGATCCCATATGGGCGCCGGTTCTAATCCTGGCAGCTCCACTTCCCATCCAGCTCCCTGCTTGTGGCCTGGGAAAGCAGTCGAGGACAACCCAAAGCCTTGGGACCCTGTACCTGTGTAGGAGACCTGGAAGAAGTTCCTGGATCCTGGCTTCATATCAGCACAGCATTGGCCATTGCGCTCACATGGGGAGTGAATCATCATATGTAAGGTCTTCCTCTCTGTCTCTCCTCCTCTCGGTAATATATGACTTTATAATGAAAATAAAATAAATCTTTAAAAAAAAAAAGAGTTGAAGCAGCCAGAGTCTGAACCAGCACTTCAATACAGGATGCCAGAATCACATGTGGGGACTCGCTGTGCTGCAACATCAGTGTTCCAATCACAGCACCGAAAGCCTGCTGCATGAACTTTATAAAAACACCTCCATGTGTGATACATGATCTCAAAGATCACGCCTCTTAGCACTTGCCTTACTAATAATCACACCTAGTTCTTACTGAGTGCTGACTTTGTGCAGGGCATCATGCTAAGTGCTTCACCTGCTTAATCCTCAAAGCAGTAGGAGAGTTTCGGAAAAGTTTGTAACCTCCCCCAAGTCACAGAGCTTTTCAGGAGCAGAATTTTTGCTTAAGGGCTTTAGGATCACTGAGTGATGTTGCCTCTTCAATCTTCTGCTCCTGTGTGCTTTCCTGCTGGGTGCACTTTACACAGATGATTGTCTCAACCTGCAAGAATCTCCTCACTGCATCCAGTTTAAAAGAAGCTAGTTCTCCGGGGAAATTCTCAGCTCTGCTAAATAGAGCTCATGACATCTCATAGGATCAGCATAAGAACGAAAATGAGGCCTGTGAAATAGTATCTAACCTACATAAACATCCTAACGATTTGAGTAGAGCTTCACAGTGATTAAGAGCCTGGTTATGCTTTAGGTTCAGCTCTATAGTGCAACACTTGAGCTCAAATGCTAACTTGTATTATTGGGGTGTGTGTGTGTGCATTAATGCTTTATTTACTTATTTAAGAGAGACACATACAAACACAGAGATTGATTCTATCTATTGGTTCAATCTCCAAATGCCAGAAACTGGTATTGAGAACTCAGGGAGCCAATCCTTGAGCCATCATTGCTATCTCTCGGAGTATGCATTAGCAAGAAGCTAGAGTCAGGAACCAGTTCTGGGCATCAAATCTAGGGTCTCCAATATGAGACACACATATTAGGACATGGGCATCCAACTGCTACTCTGAACACCGGCTCCCCCAATGCATATTTATTGTGCACACAGTTGATTCAAAACCCATGATTTGCTGAATTTTATCATGTTTTGTCAACAGCATTAATGCTTAGTTTACTATGCATTAATGCTTGTGTTATTCTAAGATATAATTCTATGCTTTTTCTTTTTTTTAACATAATCAAGTATAGCCCTTTACACAGGAAATTCAAGAAATATTAATGTGAAATATGTTTATTTAGTGTGTATTGCATGTTTATTTTACTGAAAGTATATAAGTAATAAGCAAATGAGAATGAAAAGTATTGCATACAATTGACATTATCTTCTGTGTGTATATTCAATGTCACTGTTTTCAAACAGGGATGTTTCAAGATGAACAGCAAGATTCAGAGAAAATTAGACAATATTTGGAATGAAATTGTTTGGCCTAATTTTCATAACCACAGATTTCAAAGAATACCACCATCCATGCCAGGTGTACCAGACCACCCCATTGTCCGTTTCAGCCGTGTAGGGACCACCGTGGTATAAACCATTCAGGTTTGCAGAGTGACACCTAGTGGTATGAAAAAAGAAAACAGAAAGTCAGGCTAGAACCACATCCTTCTGAAACCCTTCATCTTGCTAGCAAGTGTTCAAAGCCTTTTTACTGTGGCTTCTGTCATGAGGGCACATGATTACAAGCCTCCAAAAGCAGAGATTTATGCAATGGCTGTGTTCTTTCAACTGGTGGTTTTTACTGCCATAGCAAATCCAAGGTTACAGGGGCCAAGGTTGAGGTGCAGTGGGTCAGGATATCTGCAATGCTGGCATTTATATAAGCACAGGTTGGAGTCTAGCCTGCTCCACTTTTGATTCAGCTCTCTGTTAATCCACCTGGAAAAGCATCGAGGCCCAACTCCTTGGAGCCCTGCCACCCATGTGGGAGATCCAGGGAAGCTTGTGGCTCCTGGCTTCACCATGACACAGACCTTGTTGTTGAGGGAATTTGGGGACTGAACCAGTAGAGAGATGATCTCTCAGTCTCTCTCTGTCTCTGTTTCTCTGTTTCTCTCTCTCTTTTCCTGCAACTCTGCCCTTCCAAGTAAACAAATTCACACTCACATACACACACATCCAAGGATACAACAAAGGCTGTTTATAGCATTGAAAAAAGAAGCACTTCAGTTCCGGATAGATTTTAAGCAAAACAAATCAAATCAAGCAAACAAAATCCCAGTTTGGCAGCCTGCAGCTCTGCATCCTCCTGACTCACGGCAGCTGAACCTTGTCCTCAGCAAGGGCTGCACAGGTCACCAACGCGAGGTGTGGGGCAAGGTGCTCTGTTGTGGCTTTCCCGGGAATTTCCACTTGCATGTTCATCACTCTGCTGCCAAGGCGCGGTTTTCAGAATTCAACCTCCCTTTCTCCCCTCTCTAAATCACTAGCACAACAATTATTTTAATCTCAAGGGTAAGCAAACAAAACCTAAATCACTGCTTAAGGTTTTCCCAAAGTTTAACCAAGAATGAGTTGTCTGAGTAGCTGGATTAATTTTTATGTGTATTTTTACTAATCATAAAGATTAGTGGTTAGATTGTTATGCATTTTTAAAATATTCCTCTTCCTTCTTTGGAGTCTGCAAATTTGTACTTGTTATATATAAACTACAATTAAGAGTATGTGACCATTTTCTGTCTTGTGTTATGTTCATTATCACATATTTTAAGTATGCTATATAAACAGTTAGAATAGACCAGACATTAGGGTATTAGGAGACTTTCCCCATGGGGCTATTTCTAAAAAAAAAAAAAAAAAAAATTCTATGAAAATAATCCACATCTACCCATAGAGGAAAAGCTGCTGGCTTAGGTCACCTACCAGCTTTGTAATTTGCCTTCTTTTTAAAGATTTGCTTATTTATTTGAAAGACCCAGTGATAGAGCAAACACAGAAAAAGCTCTCCACTAATGTTTACAGTGACCAGACCCTCAAAAACACTTCACTGCTGAAGTCTCATAAGGATGACTGTGCACTAATAGTATTACAAAAAAAGCCAGCATTGCCTCATCTATCCTACTGAGTGCCCACAGTGAGATAACATCAATGCCATTACCACTGCTTTCACAAATCATCTGACCTGTTAAACCACCAGCCAGCCTGATCTTCCTGAGCACAGTTCCCTTCGTAGTTGTCGTTATCTCTGTCCCACGTGCTGAATTTCATTCTTTGGTGACTAGCCCACCACTGCACCTCAGGGTGAAATCTCCCTGCAAGGGAGTCGCCAGCTGTTCCAGAATATTCTCCGATGTGCAACTCATAGGAGCTCTGAAGAGAGAGACAAGTGCCATGATCAGTAGGCACTCTGCAAAAGGCATGTTCATCCAAGAAGCCAAGCACCAACCCTTCTGTATATTTTTTATTTCCACTGACTTTGGTTAATTTGAGGGTGTTGCTTATGTGAAAATCTTGTTACCTTTTCATCACCAACTTTGAAATCTTTATATTGTGCATAACAACTATTTTTCTCAAAATCTCCAAGGTCAATTTTCAAAGTATAGTCTCCTGGAGGAAAAAAAAGCACAAGAAGAAACAAGTTTTTAAAATATGCAATGTAAGCTTGACTAGTGAGGTTTTAAAAGTAATTAACAGTTCTATTTTGCTGTTACCATTTGCTTCTGCCAAATTCAACTTTCATAGAATTAATAACTCCATTGTATTTATAACATGAACATTTTATTATATCTTACTTGAAAGACCCAAAGAACATAATATTAAAAGCAGAAAATTTCAACTAGATTTTCCATAGGTAAAAGTTAGTGCACTTTCTTGGCAAAAAGCAACCAAAAATAAGTCTCACGATTTAGTTAATAAATTAAGAAATGTAATGACAGTAATTTAACAGTTTACTTCCTTTTCTTAATTTTAACAGAAATGTTGATCTTACAGATAAATAATGACTATTACTAACATTTTATAATCTCTGGTAGCTAGCCAGCCAGCCACTAGTTTTATGATATAGAAGCAATTGCATGCAAGTACATGAACTTGCTTGCTTTTCCTGGCTGTGTAAGAGATCTGTCAGCAAACCCTTTAAAGACCGTTTGAGGAAGAAATCTGAATCTCCCTTATTTTCTGTGAACTTTTCTTTGATATTGGCTCATAGAAGAGAACTCTTAGCTTCAAAACTGATGGAATGGGCCTGGCATAATAGCCTAGTAGCTCAAGTCCTCACCGTGCATGCACGAGGAACCCATATGGGCTCAGTTTGTGTCCCAGCTGCTCCATTCCCATCCAACTCCCTGCTTGTGGCCTGGGAAAGCAGAAGATGGCCCAAGCTCTTGGGACCCTGCACACACGGGAGACCTGGAAGAAACGTCTGGCTTCTGGCTTAAGATTAGCTTAGCTCCAGCCATTGCAGGTCCCGTTCTGGTCACAGTGGCCATTTGTGGTGCCGGGGGTGGGGGTGGTGGTAAACCAGTGTATGGAAGCTCTTTTTCCCTGTGTGTATCATTCTCTTTCTCTGTAACTCTTTCAAATGAATAAATAAATATTAGAAAAAGAAAATGGAATTAAAAGATGCTTATTTTGTTGTAAAAGTTTTTTGAAATCATGTTATCTTTCAATAGTCTATGGAAAATGTGAACTACAACACAAAAGACCATGTATTGATTGCAAAACAATTTTTCACCAGAATAAACTTTTTTTATTATAAAGCTTTATTTATTCAGTGATTTGAAAGGCAGAATGAAGAGAAAGATTTTCCATCTTTTGGTTCAGAATTCAAATTGGGTCTCCCATGTAAGTTGTAGGGATCCAATCAATTAGCCATCCCCTGCTGTTCTCTCAGGTACATTAGCAGGGAGCAGCTGAACAGGAAGCAGAGCAGCTAGGGCTTCAATGTGGGATGACAAAATCCCAGTGATGGCTTAGTTCACTATGACACAATATTCACCATGATTACACTTATCTTTTAGTTAGATTTTCCCACCATCTTTTGAATGTATCCTCGTAAGGACCTCTCTGGCCAGTTTGGATTTTAGAGACTCTTTCTCCTGGGAGTTCCTGAACACGGAGAAGGCCCATCCATGCTCAGCCTCCTTTCTTTGTCATCCTCATCTCCATTAAGCTTGGCAAAGGGCTGTGAACACACCAAGTGGTAAGCTTTGTCCACACCCATAATCAGAGCTGTCCATTAGCCGCCTCCCTTGGTAGGGATCATAAATAAGTTGATTAGGAAACCTCATGTAAATTTAGCACTCTTTGATTACTAGATGGAAAAACAACACATCAGACTCCTGGGATTATCCATCCCATTAGCTATTATCCATGTGTCTCAAAGAACCTTATAATCATAATCCTACTGACAGTCACACATATGGAAACACTGATGGCTGTATCGATTGTTGAGTGCACAGTTGAATCCTTGCTCCTGTAAGGCGCTGCCAAAGTGACTTAGCATGACTTCTTGGGCAACATAATTGCCTTTTATAAGGTACTCAAAACAGATCCAAGTAGAACTCAATGCGGTCACACACTACAATTCAAACAAGGAAGGCAATGGCTGGCAACAAAAGAATAAAGACCCACACATTGAAAAGTTAACCACACTAATGATTTCTTAGGCAATATTGAGTTCTGATTAAAAATAGAAATGCAAAAAAAAATACAGAGATGCTTCTCAACGGATGATTGAATTACAGCCAATAAACCCATCAAAAGTTTAAAATATTGGTTTTAAATGCCTTTACAACACCTAATCCATTAACCAATACACTTCAGCAACACAGCACACTGTGGGGTATTGGTTGTTTTCCTTGTAATGATGGGGTTTTCCGGATGCTGTCCTACTTCATGAAAAGTTTGAAGTGGTTCTTAGTAGCCTTGCAGAAAATCAGAAATTCAGAATTTGAAATAAGTTTTTCTACTAGTTGAAAATTACGTTTGTTACATCATAAAGTCACAAAATTGTTACGTCCAACAATCGTTAAGTCAGGTGCATCGCTATGGAGAGAACTGCATAGATGTCTACCATTTTGAAAAAAAAAAAACATGTTTTAAAAGATGGATTGATGGGTGAGGAGAATAGGGAGTAATGGGTAGATGTGACAAAACAAGCATAAGAGCATTAATGTAAATTCTAGGTGGTGTGCTGAAGCTTCTTTCAACTTGGCTGTATCATTGAAAGGTTTTTTTTAATAAAAAAAATGAAGGTATAAAAAATAAAGACATTTAATGTATTCTGGTATCTGATTCCAAAAACAGCTCCACTTTTCCTAGCATTCACTCCTCTGTTTTGTTACTTTATAAACCCCTCCTGTTAATTTCCTTTCCCCTTGAATCTGAGCCACTTTCATCAACAGAAGGAAAAGGACTGTGGGCCACTTCTGGGGCTCAGTCTCAGGAGATTCCTGTGCCTTGCTGGTTCTTTGTGCAACTCTGCCTTTCCTGCAAGAGTAAGTCCAGACAGCCGGCTGGAAGGTGGGTGACTGTATGGAGCAAAGCTGTACCATTTCATCTGAGGCCAGCTGAGAGCAGCCAGCTTCTCCCTAACCAGAATGTTGACTATGGAACCACGAGCTAGCCCAGCCAAGATGAGCAGAAATCAGTCCTGACCCACGAAACTATCCAGCTAGCATGCAGATTGATGAGGAGCAATAAACGGTTGTTGCTATGAAGCCTTCAAGTTTTGAAGTAGCATGACTTCATACTGTTGCAATGATATAGATTGTTGATATAGTGTACATAATTTTCAGGTATTACACAAAGAATATTTGTAACATTACTTTTTTTCCCACAGAAAATATATATGAGAAAACAATGCTGCCCACAATTCAGTTCTAGTTTCTTTCCTCTATTCCTAGATTTAAGCAGCCAGGTTTTGCCAAGTGGATTATTCTGTAACAGATATCAGTACCATCTGCAAATTATAGTAGCTATTGAATTAGTTCCATTGCCTATGATTTAGTGAAAAACGTGTTTGTGTTTTGTTTTTATTGCATTTTAAATGAATTTGACATCAGGCCAAACTTACCTTGTGTTGTCAAAAAGTGAAGATTTTTATTACCCAGCCAATATTCACCATTTTTTTGAACAAAATTTCCAAAACCCTTTTCATAGTCTTCCCAGGCTCTACAGACAAAAAAAATGAAAGCTTATTTTAGCAAACTCCAAAAGAATGTTTGAGATAGACAAGATGCTTTCCCATGTTGCTGCCAGTGTTGTCATGATCAGTTAATTCACACTCAGTATTATTAATTAGAGAGTGAAATACTGTCATGTTAGTAGACCTCAGACTCATAGTTGAGTTTCATTCTCATACTTGCTCCCACAGATACACCTGTATGTCATAGTGAGCATACCTGTTAAAGTTCACGGTGCCGTCAGATCGTCTCTGAATCACTGTCCATCCTCCTCCATCAGACATGTCACAATAAACAGAGAATTCCGCTGTGCTCTGGATAGGCTTGATTTTGTAAAATCCACTCTGTTTATACCCATCATTGAAAATCTCGGAACAGTCTGCTTGTAAAACAGTGATAATATTTCTTATATGACTTTTACAAGGAAACCTCTGAATTATTTTACTCAGTGCCAGTGCAGACAGATAAATACAAGGTATAGATAGATGAGCAGGCTTTAAAACTCTTATTTCTTTTCCAGGGACTAATTTAGAAAATTTAATTATTGTTTGACTTCATGATGTGGTGATGGAAAAAATAAGTTGAAACAGGGACTGGTTTTTCATTTATAAATTTTGTGAAAAACAAAAAGTATGAATTATATGTGTTCTGTTAGTTACAAAACATATAAGTGGAATATTTAGCCTTAATAATAACACTAGCCCATAGGGAATGCCCACACTGTAGGTAGATAGCCAACTACATGGTGCCAGTTCCAGTTTTTTGTATTTTTGATGTGTTCAAGCAAGTCTTTAAACCGTTCATGAAAATGTGGATTTTGAAAATGTGGATTTCAACTTTATTTTGTTTCAAAATAAACCTTTCAATTCCTTTTTTTTTTCCCCCACAACCTTCTTGAAATCCCTTTATACCTATTGGTTGAGTTTTTTTTTTTTAATCCAGAATTTTTGTTAGTTTTTGCTTTTTTCTTTTTTCATTGAAATTCCTCTGGATCTTAAGTTGCATTTGGCACTTTCTCCTGGGGAAAAGGAAAACTGCAAACACATGAACAAAAACTCAACTCAGAGTTCACACAAAATGAGAACAAACAGAAAATTTTGGCAGAAATATTTATATTCACAAAACTGCTCATTGGCAAATGTTACAGCTAATCATGTCCATATTGGCCTGGAGAAGAGTTTGAACTTTGTGAGCTTTTAGTTTTCAGCTCTTTGCTGGAAAATTAAATGCAGGCCAAGAGCTTCCTTTCTGATGAGGTTAAAGTCTGCTGACTTTAATGGCAAAGGTGTACTACATATTTGACTATAGAATGTAAAAATTTCAATATTGAACTAATCTCATGTGATCATTTTGTGTTTCTTCACAGTGTTCTGGCCGCTCCACTTCTGATCCAGCAGACTGCTAATGACCTGGGAAAGCAGCAGAGAATAGTTCCAGTCCTTTGGCCTCTGCAACCACGTGGGAGACCCAGAAGAAGCTCCTGCCTCCTGACTCTGGATTGGCTCAGCTCTGGCCATTGCAGCCATTTGTGGGGACAAACCAGTGGATGGAAGACCTCTCTCTCCATCTCTCCTTCTTTCTCTGTAAAAATCTTCCTTTCATATAAAAATTTAAAAATAAATCTTAAAAAAAACCAATGTGCTAGGCGCTAGATATATTCTGACTGATGCAGAATTATAGAAGCAAATCTATCCTTCAAATCAGAAAAACTAGGTTCAAGTCATAATGTCTCCATCAATAACATATGGTCTTGCTCAAATAAATCCCTTAAGGATAACACACACACACACACACACACACACACACACACACACACACACCCAGTAGTTCAATTTCTTATAGTGATCAAATTAAAGAGCCAGTCTTGGGAAATTAAACTATGATAACAGAAAGTTTGAACAATGTGGAGTTAAAAATACCATATGGACATTAACATAATAAAAACCTTTCAACCCACTCAATCATTTTTCCTTTGTGAAAAAAGTAGAAACAATAGTAGATTACCGAGTACGGTATCCATGAGTATAAAAACAAACAAACAAACAAACAAACAAAAACTTAGAAATGGTTTTGGGAACTTATATAATTGTAGCGTGAGGCCCGAACTGCTTGTCCTTTGTTTTAGCCTAATTGCCTCTTCTAACACCTTATCCCCAAACATAGTCACATTCATAGGGACAGGGTTTAGGGCTTCAACGTGAGGATTTTGGTTAGAACCAAAATTTTTCATGCATCTGTCTTGAATCACCCACAATGACTGATTCAATTAAGTCAATGAGCTCTTACCCTGTAGCATATCTAACTGACATTTTTCACAGTCTTATAGTCCAGGACTATTTTTTGAAGAATATTCTTAGAGTGAACAGCCTTGGATGATATAGTGTTTCCTTCTGCAGCAGACAGCAGCTTTGCTTACTGTCCATCCTAACAACAATAATATCTCCGTCTGAGTCCCAGATGGACAGATTTTTTCCACAAACATTTGCAAAACATTAAAATGTCCCAAGCTTAGAGTTCCTCAGCTGTGACAAAGTTCTCTGCTTGCAAATCTTCCACCTGAACCAGTCTATTCTTCCATCTGAGTAGTGGAAGTCAGGAGACATGAATGCTGACATAGAACTCGTCACAGTTCCTGACAAGCAGCAGTATGTTAGAACATCTCCGGGTGATTCTAACGAGTCACAGTGCCTGGGCCTCACGTTCTCCGAGGAATCCAGACTGATTCTGCTTCCTGGACCTTCTTTCACAGTTTTCCTAACAATCTGCATCATGTAACAGGATGCAAACACTTCATGTCTCTGCCTTTGTTTCAGAGCTATCTCCTCCATGCCTGACCCTCGGAGTTAGACTGCTTTCTGCCCAGTCTTGCATGTAATCATGTTAGTCATGAGAAGGATCCTGCTTGCAGCTTGGGGGTTCTGCCGACAGGCACTTGCTGGCAGCTTGCCTCCCCAAAGAAGATAAAGATAAATCATTACATGCACAGATGTAATGATTGTTTTGTCAAGGATTTATGGAAGCAGCTTCATCAGGCCACTGTCTGTGAACTCCTCCTACCAAGGGCAGAGACCACTGCTGGCACCCAGCTGCCTAAAGCAATCCATCATCTCTTGATTTCATCCCTCGTCATCTTTTCTTAGCCCTTATACTTAAAAACGGCCAAATGCGAGGTCACAGCAAAATGGCTTCAGTAGTGTGAGAGCTGAGCCATGTTCTCTGTCTACCAGGACTTTCAGTATCCTTATTTTCTGAGCTTCAACACATCTCTTGATTTACTGAGTTCATACGTGACAGATGGAGGAGGCTTGACTCTATCCACTATAGTTCTCTTCTCCCATTCTGACTCCTACTAGCTTGTCCTTGCAAACTTCAAACAATCACCTTCAATCCCAAGCCCATTTCTACGTGATCAGTCTTGGGTTTTCCTCATTCCATATCTCATCTACACCCTCTACCTGTCCCCACTTGAGCAGGCCTGAGGCTTTAGCCCACTTCTGATCCCCAAACTGGGGAGTGGAGGCAGCAATGGAACTCCAGGGATGAAGTATACACAATGAGGATGCTAGTTAATGGAGACAAAATTACAACACACAAGATAGAGAACTACCAGGGTTCTGAGGACAGGAAGCTGAATGTGAGCCCAGACACTCAGTCCTTGGACAGCAACCTCCTAGGGGTAATGAAAAGTCATCTTTGATTTTTCTTGTTTTACTGTTTTTTTTTTTTCCACTTTTAGCCTTGATATCTATATTTGTAACTCAAATCTTGGGCTTCTCTGATAAAGATGATCACTCCTAAAAAATTATTAATCTAGGGGCCCAGCATATTGCCTAGTGACTAAAGTCCTCGTCTTGCATACACTGGGATTCCATACAGACACCGGTTTGTATCCCGGCTGCTCCACTTCCCATCTAACTCACTGCTTGTGGCCTGGGAAAGCAGTAGAGGATAGTCCAAAGCCTTGGGACCTTATATCCACGTGGGAGACCCAGAGGGAGGTTTCTGGCTCCTGGCTTCAGATCAGCTCAGCACCAGTCATTGCAGGCGCTTGAGGAGTGAATCATCAGATAGAAGATCTTTTTCTCTGTATCTCCTCTCTCTCTGTATATCTGTCTTTCCAATAAAGATAACAAATCTTTTTTCTTAAAAAGAAAATAAAGAAATTATCAATTTATTATATAACAAAGGCCAGTAGCCCAAAATAAGGGGTCTGGACAGAAATAAATTAGAATCTTAGTAAAGAAAGAGTATTATAGGATCAAGATGGTAGAATAGGATAAGGACACGTTTAAACACAGAGAAATATTAGACAGTGTGAAGCAAAGAGGGCACATTCTAGGAAATAGGAGAGGACAGAACAACAGCAGAGGAGTACTTGGAGACTGACCAACAAGGAAAGAAGCAGACACAATGGTATGGTGTTGCAGTGACTGATACCCCAGCAGCATTCAGCTTAAAGATGTTCTCTTGATAGAGAAAAGGAATAGTGCCCACTAAAACCAAAGACAAATGTGAAGAACATTCCAGTAAAATAACAAAAGCAGACTTAATCAATGAACAACCCATTGCTAAAATGACAAAACTAAATTACCACATATTTGTATTAACCCTGAAGGTAAACGGCTTAAATTCATCAATCCTATGTCATAGATTAGTGGTGTAGATTAAAAAACAAAAGCCATCTATTTGTTCCCTACAGGAGACGCATTTCACCAACAAAGATCTGTGGAAATTGTATCTCATGGATTTTGACCTTTTTTGTTAGTTTCATCTCTTCAAAACACTTTCTTCTCATTAAATTCTTCAATGACTCATAGATCATACAGTAGCATCATTTTCTTCAAAAAGCTTCTTGATTTTTATTTTCATTTCTTCAGCAACACATTAGTCATTCAGTAGTATATTATTTAACTTCATGGTGTTGTTAATTTCTTTTTTTTTCTTCCTGTTGTTGATTTTGTTTTGTGTCTTTTCATTTAAGGGGATGTATGGTAGCTGTGCAATGTTGACTATCATATCCAGATGTGAGGATACAATGCAGTATACCGCTCTCCTTCCAGACAAAGATGGACTTACAATGAAACTGTTAACTGTATCTTGACAACAGGATGCTGGACTCTCTGCCATTGTCCATGCCCACAATGATGGACATATGACCATATATGAAGAACTATACTACAGTAATGATATAGGGGAACTCAGTGAGTGGGGAGGGAATTATGGAAGGGATAAGGGAAATCCCAGGGCCTATGGAACTGTATCATAAAATGATAATAACAAAAACAAGTAAAATTTTTTTAAAAAAGAAAGAGCGTTATACTGAAGCACAGTTCTAAGGTTTTTACAATGATTATATTGCACATTGCTGAGTTTATAGATGTCTTTATTCCCAAAAATTTGTCATCTTTTTGGTCTCTTCAGCCCTTTAATTACTGTCAAATGTACTTCTCAATGTGCTTTTTTTCTTCACTGCTCCTGTTTCTATTATTTCCTTGCTTTCATTCATAAGTATGACAATTCATTCTGCCTGCGACATTCTCATAGTCCACAAGGAAGTAAACAGTACTAAATGTTCAGACCTTGCCAAGTGGCCAGTTAATTGACCAAGATAGACTCACAAACAGATAAGTCATAACATTATGGTAATGTTAGAGTGGACATATGAACAAAATGCTGCAGCTGGCATTCTTCCTGTTCACTTCACTTCTTCCAGAAGTAAGAGTGGTTGTTTAAACTGATGGCTACCAGAAGCAGTTTTCTATAGACAATGATGTGCACATTGATGTGTGTTACAAGTTGGCATTAAAGATCTTTTAGTTTCTGGGGAAAAAATACTGGTTTAATCAAATGTAAAATTACCAAACTAAAAATTATGCACATTTAAAACTGTGCTTTTAGGTGGGTCTCAGGACGGGGCATCTCATGCCTGGATCCCAGACAGCCACCATGTGCACATGGTGAGCTGTTCCCTGGCCTGCCTGGGCTCTGGGGGCTGCTCCCTTCGGGGTGAGTACACCGAGAGGGGAAGTTTCCGTGACTGGGCAGGTCCAGGACCCACCTGCTGCCTTCACTGGGTGGTGAATGGAATTTGGGAGGGGTGCGACCTTGGGCCTGGGAATTTAAACTTCCAGCAGCCTCCCGGCTGGGATTGGGTCAGACCAGACTAGGGCTACCACACCTGTGTGCCTCATGTGGCCTGGATCAGGGAAAATCCAGGCTGGGCTGATTATTCCTACTGGTACAAACAAAATTAGAGTGGGCGAGGGTCTTTTGGGCTTAGCCACAGCATCAGCTGTAATCTGGGAGTGGGAGAGGCCTGGGAGGGAAATAGTGGGCTCATCTCTCTTGGGTTACCACTTCCACGGGAGGACATAAAACTAAGACAGCGGCTGGGATGGAATGGGGTGTGGGACAGACTGGATTACTGCTGCACATACTGGCAATCCAGGGTAGGGGGTGGGCCTGGTGCGGGTTATTGCGGGTAGCTCCAACTAGGCTGCAGCTCCCACTGGTTTATGTGAGGGCCAAGTATGTGCTGAGCAGAACCAGGCTGGACTGCAACACCCATTGGTTCTAGTGGAAGTCGGGAGTGAAAACAGAACCAACCCAGCAATTATAACCACCAGCTAATCAGGGCGATGGACTGTGCTGGGCCCTGTACTTGCTAGAACATACAAGAAGTTTCTTTGGAGATCTTCCTAATCTAAATGCTGGACTCAGAACCCCAACCAAGAAAAGAGAGAAGACAGAACAGGTCAACCAACCATCTCAGCTATGATAGACTATGTCAATCAGTGGATTTTTCAAAGACCTCATAGTGCTTGGAGTGGCAAGATTGGCAGCTATTCATAACTGTTGAAATATCAAAACCACTTGAGCAAGAACCTCAGAGAATATCCTACATCCGGGACCTGGGGAGGGTGGGAAACTGGGTGGGCCTTCTCCCTTAATACCCCCTTTAAACAAGAAGGTAACAATATGGAGAACATACTAGTCTTACCCACTTTCCTGTAGCCCTTGAACCTTTTTACCCTAATTAACTATGTAAAGATTGTCAAAATAAAAAAAAAAATAAAACTGCACTTTTATTTTGTTGAATAATTCTGGTCCTTTTCCCCTTCATGCTCTTTTATTCTCTTACCTTATTTGCCACCGTAAGATATAACAGGGTTTCAGAAAGGCAAACCATGTCAGAAAGATACACAAATGAAAACCTAAAATTTCACCATTAAGAGTTGCTATTTATACACTATTTAAATCATCTATGACCTCAATTTCCTACTGAACTAATAGAAATTCTCACGTATTTAGTACTGTGTTAAATATCCCCTGAAGAGACAATAGAAAGGGCAAAATATGATAGAAGATACTTAATACAGATAAAACACTTCACAAGCGCCTTAGCAAGACTTGAAGTGAACAAATTCCAGCAGCATCATTGCATATGGGTATGTAAGTTATTGGCACAGTTAAGAAAAGTCAACTCTGACCTGCATATTGCCTCTTGGTTCCAATGTCGAAGACACTATTCTCCTGTCCTCTGTCAAGGAGCTGGACTTCGTTCTCTTGCAAAAGCTGTTCAATTTTGATCTGTTGCTGTTTGATCTGGGTCTCCAGCAGATGCACTTGAGCTCTGAGCCGTGCTACTTCTTGGAAGCAGTTGTCCAGAGCCTACAAAGGAATGGACACCTTGTTTTGGCAAAAGATAAATGCTGCTATTAATTTGAATGACTCAATGATCCAGTTTTGTTTCTGCCATTTTAGAGTAACATTCCAACTAAGGAAGCAGTTTTTAAAATTATAGGATCCTGCACGGTAGCCTAATGGCTAGAGTCCTTACCTTGCACACTCGGGGATCCCATGTGGGTTCTGGGTCATGTCTCGGTGGCCCCGCTTCCCAGCCAGCTTCCTACTTGTGGCCAGGGAAAGCAGTAGAAGGCCCAAAGCCTAGGGACCCTGTACCCGCGTGGGAGACCTGAAAGAGGCTCCAGGCTCCTGGCTTCAGATCGGTGCAGCTCCAGCCATCTTAGTCACTTGGGCTACTAGTGAATCAATGGATGGAAGATCTTCCTCTCTGTATATATGACTTTTGAATGGAAATGAATAAATCTTTTTTAAAATTATAGTTATAATTTAAAAATTTAATAGTTATAATAGATGCTAAAGCACATGAACTCAATAAACAAAATAATACAGCCAGAATGGTTGTACCAAGAGCTTTATTATTTGTTTCTTATTATATATTCATAACAATTCATTGAGGAAGGAATGGGCTATGTCCTGATGCAAAAGCCTTCCTCACAGATACCCTGAAAATGTGAGAGGAGTCCTCAACCTCTTCATAATGTAATTTTTCTGTAAAATGGGGCAGGCATTTGTCACAGTGGTTAAGTGCTTCTTGACATACCTGTGTGTCGTATTAGAGTCCTGGCTCTGCTTCTTACTCCAGCCTCCTGCTAACATACCCTCTAGGAGGCAGCAGGCGTAATGTAAGTGTTTGGATCCCTGCCACCCACACGGGGGACATAGATTGAATTTCTGGCTCCCAGTTCTAGCCTGGTCCTAATGTGACTATTGCAGGTATTTGAGAAATGCACCACCAAATGGGAGTTCTCTGTCTCCTCTCTCTTAAACGAACACAAATAAATAAACAAAATTTATAAGCAAACAAATTGTAAAACGCTTTACAGAAGTTAATTATGTTACTGGTTCTTTAATACCCCAAATAAATGAGATTTTAGAATGATCTGATTATAAATATGTTTTAAAAACAAGATCTGGGGCTGGCATGGTGACTCAACAAGCTCCACTTGCAAGCACCAGTATCATAAATGGCTGTCATTTCACATCCTGGATGCTCCACTTCCCATCCAGATCCCTGTTTGTGGCCTGGGGAAACAATGGAGGATGGCCCAAAGTCTTGGGATCCTGCATCCATATGACAGACCCAGAAGAAACTCCTGGCTTCAGATCGGCTCAGTTCCAGCCATTGCAGCCACCTGGGGAGTGAACCAGCAGACGGAAGATCGTTCTTTCTCTCTCTCCTTTTCTCTGTAAATCTGCCTTTCCAGTAAAAGAATAAATACTAAACTTCAAAAAAATTTTAAATATAATGGGGATAATCTGATGATGTATGGCATCTTTATAAGGGATTCCAATTTAAACCCTCACCTCCCTCAGATTTTCCATTCACTTTCCAGTTGCGGAAATTTTACTGGATTCACTGACATTGTTTTGCTTACTCCTAACTTTTCCCTCAGATCCTTCAAATTGAACCTAGTAAATCACTGATCTTTTCTTAAAAAACAAATAACCCAAGCATGTGGCACGTTCCTGAGCCTATAAGCTCTTTTGTAATGTGGTGTCGGACTGAGCAGAACAGAGCTCTTGAATGAGACTCTGGCAAGTGAATTGAGTTTTGAGAAGGCTCATAAAGGCTCTTGGGTATTCAGCCCTGGGACAGAAACAAGGCAAAGGGAAAAAGGAACATAGGACATCTTTTTTGTTTTTGTTTTGTTTTGTTTACTATTTTCTCATTTTTACCTTGATGTCTCTATTTGCAACTTGTGTCATGGTGTTCTCTGATAAAATGCTTGCTCCTGAGAAATTAGAAATTTTATTCTGTAATTGCCTCACATGATCATTGTTTAGACTTTCTAACAATCATTCAGTTAGAGTTAGATAATAATAGAAAATCCATACCAAAGCAGGCATTGTAAATTCAACAAGAGGTTTTACAAGAAGCTTACCCAGACATCTGTGTCCACTACCAGAGCAGTGACAAGGACGAAAATGAGCATCTTAGCCATTTTCTCCTCTGTAAAAACTGCAAGAGCAAGAAGAATTTTGTTAACTTGTTGACATTGAATTTTTCATGAGAGCAGAGCAGCATTTCAAGATAAGTAGCTCCACGAGGCTAGATGCAGTGACAAGTTATGCTGAGCCCAAGAGTCACTGGAGAAATCTTAACTTGCCTGGCCTTCAGCTGCTCAATGCGATGTCTTCAATTTGACCGCATTCACCACAAAGAGGAGGGACTCTGGCTTTCCTTTCTTGGTCACGATAAATGTGCCATGGGTATGCCATGTGGAAAAGCACAGGCTGTGATGGCAGCAAGCCTAGGTCCATATTTTGGCTGAGTCACTTCTAGGTATTTGACCTCAGGAAATTTATGAACATACTCCTGCTCTGTAAAGTGGAAATGATAATTCCTGCCTTACAGGATTGTGGGAACTTAGGGATAATATTTTTAGATGGATTGACAGATGCACAAAATGAATAGTTTCTGTGCATCTGGATGATAGTTTCTCTTTTTTTCTATTTTATTTTTAATTTTGTGCTACAATTTCATAGGCTCTAAGATTTCCTTTCCTCCATGAATAACTCTCTCACCAACTGATTTCCTCCATATTATTACAACAGTAGAGTCCTTCACAGGCAGTCATTGTCCATCATTCTGCTATTTAAGTGTATCCTGACATTGTGGGTATAGACAATGTCAGAGAGTCCAGCATCCTATTGTCAAGATACAGTTGCCAGTTTCACTGGGAGTCCATCTTTGATTTGGAAGTAGAGATACATACTGCATTGTATTTTCACATCTGGATAAGATAGTCTCTATTATACAGTTACTATACATTCCTTCAAATGAAAAGCCATAAAACAAAATTAACAACAGGAATAAAGTTTAAAAAATTGGCAATACTATGGAGCAAAACAACATGCCACTGAATAACCAATGTGTTGATAAAGACATGAAAAACAAAATGAAAATGAAAAAACCTTCTTGGAGAAAATGATGCCACTGTATGATCTATGAATTAGTGAAGAATTTAGTGAGAGGAAAGAAACTATTTTGAAGAAATAAAAATAAAAAACAAGGGCCCAGTGTGGTAGCCTAGTGGCTAAAGTGTTCATCTTGCAAGCGCCTGGATCCAATATGGGCGCCAGTTCTAATCCTGGCAGCCCCGCTTCCCATCCGGATCTCTATCTGTGGCCTAGGAAAGCAGTCAAGGATGACCCAAAGCCTTGGGACCCTGTACCCACATGGGAGACCCAGAGGAAACTCTTGACTCCTGGCTTCAGCTTGGCTCAATTCCGGTCTTGCAGCCACTTGGGGAATGAATCAGCAGATGGAACAAAAATACCAAAATCCGTGAGTTGTAGCAAAAACAGTATTGAAAGAACTACTTTAATTTGCATGAAGGTTGCTTTATATCAGAGAAAACATAAATGGTCCCAACTAGGGACCATTATGCTCAGTGAATTAAGATAGTTCATTTTTTTTCCAAAAGATTTATTTATTTATTGGAAAGTCAGATATACACAGAGGAGGAGAGACAGAGAGGAAGATCTTCCATGATTCACTCCCCAAGTGAGCGCAACAGCCGATGCTATGCCGATGCTATGCCGATCCAAAGCCAGGGTCCAGGAACTTCTTTCAGGTATTCCACGTGGGTGCAGGGTCCCAAAGCCTTGGGCCGCCCTCGAATGCTTTCCCAGGCCACAAGCAGGGAGCTGGATGGGAAGTGGAGCTGCTAGGATTAGAACTGGCGCCCATATGGGATTCTGGTGTGTTCAAGGCAAGGACTTCAGCCGCTAGCGACGGTGCCGGGCCCAAGATAGCTCATTTTTAAAAAAATAAAAAGAAAGTTATAACAAGAAGTTTTCCCAATGTCTTAGTGTTTAGACAAGCAACTAAATACACAATGTTGAGACCTGCTTTCACTTGTGAAAGATGAGATGAAATGGGTGCTTTGGCACAGTGGATCAAGCTGTTGTTGGGATTTCTACACCCCATTTGATGTGCCTGTTGGAGTCTGGGTCTTCCACTTCCCATCTAGCTTCCCACTAATGTGCCTGCAAGGTCAGGAGGATGGCCTAAACATTTGAGTTTCTGTCACACATGTGGGAGACCCAGACAGAGTTCTTGGTCCTAGCTTCAGTGTAGCCCAACCCGGGTTGTTGTGAGCATCTAGGGAAAGTAGCAGCAGATGGAAAATCTCTCTTATTCTTTCAAATAAAACATTTTTTGATGTTTTATTTAGATTATTTATTGAGATTATTATTTTTTTAAAGATTTATTTTTTATTAGTTTTTATTGGAAAGGCGGATATACAGAGAGGAGAGACAGAGAGGAAGATCTTCCATCCGTCCGATGATTCACTCCCCAAGTGAGCGCAACGGCCGATGCTATGCCGATCCAAAGCCAGGAGCCTCTTCTGGGTCTCATACGCGGGTGCAGGGTCCCAAAGCTTTGGGCCATCCTCGACTGCCTTCCCGGGCCACAGGCAAGGAGCTGGAAGGGAAGCAGGGCTGCCGGGATTAGAACCGGTGCCCATATGGGATCCCGGGCGTGCAAGGAGAGGACCTTAATCACTGCGCCACTGCGCCACCTCGCCGGGCCCAATTGAGATTATTTTAAAAATCATCTTAAATTAGTACATTTTTAAAAAAGATTTATTTTTATTTTTTATTGGAAAGGCGGATATACAGAGAGGAGAGACAGAGAGAAAGATATTCCCCTCTGATGATTCACACCGATCCGAAGCCAGGATCCAGGAACCTCTTGTGGGTATCCCGCACAGGTGTAGGGTCCCAAAGCCTTGGGCCATCCTCGACTGCTTTCCAGGGCCACAGGCAGGGAGCTGGATGGGGAGAGGGGCCGCCGGGATTAGAACCGGCGCCCATATGGGATCCCGGGGTGTGCAAGGAGAGGACCTTAACCACTGTGCCATCACACCGGGCCCTAAATTAGTAAATTTTAATGAAAATTTTTGCTCACCTTTAAAATAGCTACTGTGTGCTACCATGGTTTTGAGTTTTCACAAACTTTAAAAGCTAAGAAGCCTAGAAGGACTAGAAATATCTGTGGTTAAAAAAAAAAAAAAAGAATTATACCTATAGCTTCACCTAAAAAAATGGAATTTATCAAATTGTTTATTTATTACCCAACTGTATTCTCCAAGCGCCCATGAACACCAATTGTTTATGTGTATCATCCTGTTCTCCATGTTTATCTGACTTAAGAAGTAGCAAAGATCAGGCCTTGGGCATGGCAAGTTAAGCTGCTACTTGGGACACAGACATCCTATACTAGAGGGCCTGATCAAGTTCCCACTGCTCCAGGCTTCCACTCTATCTCCTCAGAGGCAGCTCATCATGGCCCATCGTGTGAGTAACTGGAACCTACCCTATGCGAGACCCACGTTGAGTTGTTTTTTTTTTTTAAGATTTATTTTTATTATTTTTCCATTGGAAAGGCAGATATACAGAGAGGAGAGACAGAGAGGAAGATCTTCCGTCCGATGATTCACTCCCCAAGTGAGCGCAACGGGCCGATACTATGCCGATCCGAAGCCAGAAGCCTCTTCCGGGTCTCCCACAGGGTGCAGGTTCCCAAAGCTTTGGGCCATCCTCCACTGCTTTCCCAGGCCACAGGCAGGGAGCTGGAAGGGAAGCGGGGCTGCCGGGATTAGAACCGGCGCCCATATGGGATCCCGGGCGTGCAAGAAGAGGACCTTTAACCACTTGCGCCACCGCGCCGGGCCCGACGTTGAGTTTTTGACTCCTGGCTCCTATCTGGAGAATAATTCTTTCTCTCCCTCTTCCCCCCCCTTTCTCTTTGTTCCTCTCCCCTCTTTCTCTCTCTCCCTCTCTCATTCATCCTGCCTTTCAAGTAAGTAAATCAGTAAATAAGTAAATAAACAAATAAATAGGTCCTATTGTAAAAGAAATGGTTCCTAAACTTTGCTGCCTGGGAAATTAGACTGTGACTCTTCAATCAGAACAACCTGGCGTGGAATGTCAGCTTTGCCAGGAAATTGCTGTGTAATCTTGGACTCTTAAATCTTGGTTTTCTCATTGGTAAAATGGAGTTTAAAAAGTTAGCATGTCATAGGATTTTGATTGATATTAAACAGAAGAATGCTTGTAAAGTACCAAGTAATATGTGTCTGGTATGGCTTAAGTACATATAAACGATCATCATCATCATTATTGCAAATGTCAACTATTTTTAGATGGAGTGTTTGCAAACTAATCACCCCAACCTTTTTACTTGGAAATTGCACTTTAATTGTGTCATAAGCTGTTTGACTGGCTGGTTTACTTTGAGTGAAAATTATGGATCTGGCTAAATTTCCAGACAGGGGCCCAGTGTGATGATTCACTGGTTAAATCCTCGCTTTACACATGCCAGGATCCCATAGGAGTGCCAGTTTGTGTCCTGGGTGCTCCACTTTCCATCCAGCTCCCTATGTGTGATCTGGGAAAGCACTGGGGCCTGTCCCAAAGCCTTGAGACCCTGCAGCCATGTGGGTGACCTGGAAGAAGCTCCTGGCTCCTGGCTTTGGATTGGCTCAGCTCTGGCCTTTGCAGCCACTTGGGGAGTGACCAGCAGATGGAGGATCTTTCTCTCTGTTTTTCCTTTACTCCATAAATCTGTGTTTTCAATAAAAATAAATAAATTATATTTTAAAAAGTCCAGATAGTTAATTCTCTCCCATCTTGAGGCCAAACAGTTCCAGAACATGAGTGTATTAACTAGAACTCAGCAACAACAACAACAAAAAAACAAGAACACCACTTTTAGAAGCATTATAAATCAAAATATAGCCAGAATTTTTAGAATATGTGAGTTGGGCATTCTGGAGAGTTACAAACAGCTTGTTAGGTGTAGCTGTATAATTTTGCTTAACACACTTCTATTTCTGAGTTTTATAAAATGCTTACAAACGAAATACGGGGCAATCAGAGACCCTGTGATGGAATATGTCAATCAGTGGATTCTTCAAGGACTTCATAGGGCTTGGAGTGGCAAGATTG